CCACCCGCGGGCTGCAGCGACGAGCTCCTCGGCGAGGCCGAGGGAGGCGCGTGCTTCGCGACGGCGGCCGCTCGCTGCGGCGCCGAGCGCGCTTCGCTTTACCGCCGTCCTGCTGACGCAATCCTGACGTTTTAGCTTTGTCCGGGTCCCATCCTGCGGTTTGCTTTCGATGTAGTCAAGTTCCTTTGGAGCTGTTGAAGGAATGGGATTTTTAATGTGTCCGGCAGCGCTGACTGATTTTTGCAGCACTTCTGTCTAGGTCTCGCCCTTGGATTGTCTGTTGGTTTAAAAAAAGAAATGCTTATAATTTTGGAAAAATGGTTTTGTTTTTTTTTTTCCGGTAAAACTATATATTTGTGTTTATTTTTTTCTATATTTTAGTCACTAGGGAAAAGGCTTTTATAGACGATATAATTTGCTTCTGGAAGGTATTCGCTTAAAAAGTAAGCGTGGTGCTTAGACAAGCTGTATTTATTGGAGTCCTTTATATGTAACTTTACCCGTAACCGAGAACTTCTGTCCTAGTTGTGCAAAAACTTAATATACCGCGGTAAAGAGATGGTGCGAATCTGCTGGCCGCTCCAGAGTCCTGGCTCTTGGGTCGTTTTGGCTAAATAAGCTAAAGTTAAAATGCACCTTTCCCGTCCCGTCCTGGCGAGGAGGGCTCCCGCTTGCCCGCGCGCTGCTTAGCCCGTGTTTTAAAACAAATACGCGGCGAGGCAGAGCTGATACCCTTTGTAGAGTGGCTTTTTCAAAAAAAACTTTAAAGCTTGCTTCTACTTGAGCAAGACAAGGTTATTGAAGAAGCGATGGACCTGATGGTTCAGTACCGGAGCCGATAACTTGGACAAACGCTCTCGGCTCGCGTCAGTGCTTGCTCAGGCCGCCGGCTCTGGAGGGATTTCTGCCCGTCTGTCCCCATCGTCCCTTGCAGGGGGCGGCCGGGGCTGCTCTGTGTCCGCTGCCTGCCCGGTCTCCTTCGGGAAGCCGCGCTTTCCTGTCTCCTTCCTTTCCCTCAGTTCCTCTCACCTGCAGAACTACAAAATGGGTTGGATTTCTGGCTTTTCTAGGCAATTCCTTTACGTGGTGTTGGAGGAGAGCTGGATTGTTGCTTCCTGTTCTTTGCCAAAGCTCTGAGTGAGCAGGAGAAACCAGCCCCAGGTCCTCGCTCTTGGTCGCCCTGGCACCCGCCTGGGCCTGACCACAGCGGTCCCCAGTGCGGAGGGGGTGAAACAAAGCCGCTGGGGCCCTCTGGGCCTGTCCCGTTACCGCCTCATCTCCGTGCGGGTCCTCTCCCGGGTTAGGCTGCCCTCGTTCTTTACCCGTGCTCCCCACGCAGAGGAGTCGCCATCGGAAAGCCCGGAGGGGACCGATGGTCTGCCCGAGACAGCTGGTTTTATAGCAGAAAGGGCAGAAAACCCCACACCTTCCAGGAGAGAACGGTGCAGGGCTCTCCCTGAATCTCCCAGGACCGGTGGGAGAGGAGACCAGAAGAAAAAAAACCTGTTGTGTTTTCTCAGATCTTGCAGACAACGAAACTCCCACTGTAGAAAAGGGAAACCTTATGCCAGGTTACTTCAATGTACTTACTTACAAATTTGGGTTTTTGAGCTGGCTGTAAACTTACTTAAGCTTGTTTTCTTTTCCCTTCTTGGCACCACTACGTATAAAAGCGAAGATGTGGCCCTGTGTTTTGGGAGTGATTCGATGCTAAACGGGTTTCACCAGCTGAGGGATTTCGTCTCTGTTACGCATCCAGTAGCACTAATGTAACTGGAGGTCCTCGAAGTTGGTGCTTCCTTCTGTCGTCTTTGCCAAGAACAAAGCTCATGCAGATGGCCCCTTGCTCATATTGGAGAACGGGTCTGAGAATGTTTTTTTTTTCTTCCCTTCCTTTAGATTCCTAAGTAAGTTTTAATAAAAGTCTGGACTTACTTACTTACTTAAAAATCAGTTGCAGAGAAGCCCTGTCCATAGGGGAAGAGATGATAAATGGTTTGTGCTGAACGGAAGAGTGAGAGCTACCTGCCCATCAGCGGCAAACATCAGTCGTAGTTCACGCACGTAATTCCCTTGGTGCGTCAGAGCAGAGTGACATCAGCCCTCCTTGCGGGGCTTTGTGGTGGGCCCAGGGGAAGCAACAGTGCAGCTCTCCTCCACTTGGCAAGTGTGACATCAGTAACCGCTCCCAAGGGCACCGTATCCTGGAGTTACAATTTGGCTGTGTCTTGGGTCAGCTCCCGGCCAGCCCGGCTGCAGGGGCCTGTGCCAACCTCGGGGGCAAACGAGCGGCCAGGAGCGTCACGCTGGCTCGTCTCCGGCCCCGGAGCGGTCGCTGGCGAGGAAGCCCAGGGCTTCCTTCGTCCCCCAGCGACCCTCGGGCCCGGTTTTAATTTGGTGCAGTATTGGAGCAAATCACCAAGTCTTTGAGCCAAGCTGATGTAACCTTGTCACTTGCTTGACCGCAATCTTTTGAAATTATTTTTGAATCTTGTTTGTTTGCTTGTAACTGTGCTGAGGCATTTGCAGTCAGGATGTTGGTTATGATGTCAAGAGCTTCGGGTTTTTTAAAAATTTTTAAATCTACTGGCTAGATTTTATTGTCCAAATGGTTAAAAATATTTTTAAAGCTTATTTTGTTTGTAAACGCGCACACTTTAGTGCCAAGGTCTGGATGGTATTGTATACACTGGGAAAGTAGAGTTCATACAACAGTATTTTCTATGCTATTAATCTACTTAAATTTTTGTTTTTCTATATCAACTCTATTTACAAAATTATGATAGTAGTGATTAAAAGGATGACCTTTTTTATTTGAATGTATGGCAGGCTTTATATGTAAGTCAATAATGATAGCAAAAAAGAACTTTATGTGCCTATGTATTTTTGTACTGGCTTCAAATAAACTGATAAGGGTTTCCTCCTAACAACTTGTCTGCTGCATTTAATTCTGCCAGCATGATGTGGCTGCCCGTTGCCTTCGAGTGGCAAGAGCATAAAGGGCTGATGACCAAGTTAGTGAGACTAAATCCAACGCGATGCGCGGTAGCGTGTTTGTGATACCACTTTTGGTTGTCGTCTGATGCAGGGCAGCAGCAGGAGGAGGGCGACGCAGCTCTGTCAGGTTTTTCAGCTTTAATTATTCTTTGGAGAAGGGGAGAGGGAAATCCCGCAGTGCAGAAATAATGCTTAGCCAAAATCAGTCGCTTTCCTTTTTCTCCAGCTAGCCTGAATTGTTAGGGTTTTTTTTTAAATGCATATGGAAGGGAAGAAACAAACCTCACCCCACTCCAAGAGGTCCTTGGTACCTGTCTTGGAGGTACCCCTGCGTCGAAACTGCAGGCAACGCAGCTGCAGCTCAAAAGGCAAAAGTCCCTGTCGGCAGGCTGCACGCAGAGCTGGGATGAACTGGGTTAGAGTGGGAGCAGGGGAGAAACAGTCAACACAGCTGAGCAGCTGCCCCAGCTGAGGGATTTCCACAACATTTCGCACCCTCCAAGAAAGCAGCACTCCCCCCCCTCACGCAACCTTCCCCTTCTGCTTGTATTTTACAGGAAGAAAGAAACAGTTCAAAGAACTGTCAGACTGTTTAATCATGAAAGTTTTTTTTTTTTCCCTTTTCCCTAAGTTCATCAAAGCAGTAACGGAGTTACTACCATACTGCCGCAACAAGATAGTTTCTTCACATCATGTATAAGCAGAACTACTCTACCCCGTGTTTTCATCAAAAAAAACTCAGTAATTTTTTTATGCAGACAATATGTTTAAAAAAATATTTTAATAAGCTTTTTCAGAATTGCAGACAGGGAATGGGGGTAAAAGAAGGGAATTACTAACAGTGCAAAATTACTATGCGTGGAAAAAATGTATAAAAACTAATTTGTAATTTTTTTTAATATCACTTTAAATCCTTTATAAAGCCCAACAAAGATTGTTCTGCTGAACTGTTTTCAATGCAGGCTGCACTCTTAAAGCACTTCATGGAAACAGGACACCTGATCCAGCTGGACACATCACGATAGTGCTTGAAAACTACACGTTACATGCAAGCTGCTGTCTTCTTCAAGGCAGTTTGGAAGCATGTTCAAACGTTCCTGGGCTCCAAACTATACTGAATGCTTTTAAAAACAAAATCAAATTTACTATATTTCTAGATTTTTAAATAGTTCTAGTAGTGCAATGACTTATCAAGTTATAGTGGCTGTATTTTTGAAGAACGTGAATGAAGTCTTGTATAAAACATCCTGCATAAACGAAATGTAAATTATAATTAAATATTCTTAACGTCTAGCTGAGCGTTACATATTGGTCGATTATGGAATGTCAGGTCTCTTCTAGGTATCACCCAAAAAAAAAAAAAAGGTAAAATTAAAAAAAAAAACAAAGCAACATTCCTGAAAATATAGACAGTGCTGTATTTTACACACAAGCCTGAGACAGTTTACTTACTTATAAACATTCCTATAATTTTTTTGGAAGTATTTCCAACTTGCAAACAAAAAACTGCATAAAATAAAACTGAAAATAAGACTTTCACTGTAAAGATTCTTAGAAACACTGCACTACCCTCGTGCCGAAGTGCTCTGCCGACCGTCTTTGATATAAGGCTGTGATACTTTGGATATTAAACAAAACAGATTTAAATTTTAACAGTGACCTCTTCCTAAAGTAATCACTCAACAAGATTAATGCAGATTAACAAGTCTTACGTCTGTGCCTCTCCACAGAAGTTGCCATCCAATTCTAGGAAGATGTCCACTTTCTCCTGTCGGCTGAGCCAGTAAAACAAATCATTCAAAGCATTTCTGGGAACAGCAGGTTAATACACTCCAGTAACTAAACATGTGGATGGAGCTATACCAGATCTGGAGCATTTGGCTCACTAATGACTCTGAAGTCCCAGTACATGTAGTTAGAAGAACAAAACAAAACAACCCCTTTGCCTTTTTCTCTTTTTTTTTGTCAAGTTGATACATTAGTTTCAAACCATATGGCCATACATTTAAAACCGGAATCCTGAATCTCATATAAACTTTAAGATCATTTAAGTAAAAATAACCAATTAAAAATTAACAGCACACTTATAAGCCACAGAAGGAGAAGATAAGTTTATAAATTATACAGATAGAACATTTTTTCCTATTTTTAATATAGAGGCATATGTAGCTGTGGCTTATAGAACAAGTTAAAACATTGGTATAAAAATCTTTCTACTTCATGGCTGTAACCCCTACTTCAACAGCTTTCGAATCAGAGTAGTGAGAAGGTGAGTATAAACACATCCCTCCCCCATTCATAAAGAGCTTTAGTTCCTAGGACTTAATCTTAAAATAGATACCCATAACTACTCCCATCTCTTACATACATGCACGTTTATATACTGAATGTATGTATATGCGTGCGCGCACACACACACACAAATAGATACACGTGTGTGTGTGTGTATGCATGCTGTACCACATATTTATATGCAATGTTTCTGCTCCCACTGAAATACCCATTCAGGCAAGGTCCATTAGTTTCCAGAAATTCAAGATCAGGCACCAGCTAACCAGTTGCACATCCATTTCTAACCTGTACAGCCAGAATCACTCAACCCATTTCCTATCCTTTCTGTGCTCAATGATGAAATGCAGAGGATGTACTGAAAATAAATCCATGAATAATCTCATACCTGATCTCGGTGAACAAGGTTTAGTAAATTCAAGCATTTGGCTGACATGAAATTTATCTGAGCTCAAAAATAAAATGAGAAAATGTATAATGAAAGCAAGAAAATTTGTGCAATGCAAGCATCATGCTTAACAAATTCTAAGCATCGCTATTTGCCATAGAACAGAAATATGAAGTCAGATTTTCAAAATAATGTGACTTCTAACCATTCTTGATATTAATGGTTTACTGTTTTCTGAGGAGAAAATAGCATGGTGGTGAATAATAAGCTTTTTTTTTTTTTTAGATTGGATTGGTTTGGTTTAGGTTTCTTTTTTTAGAAAAGACTTTAGCAAAATAAAATGAAGCTGACATTAGACTCAGGATATCAATTCTCTCATAAAAGTTTACCAACTGTACAAGTTAAGAAAATTATACAAGCTTTTGTTTTAAGAAAGGACAGTTCAATCAAGACATAAGTACTGTAAAAATCTTTCAAAGGCTACAAAGAAATCTGGAAAAATACAGAATGTATTTCTTTAGCCCAGATAAGAATATGGAAAGACATCATTGATGTCAACAATTTTACATATACAAACCTGACTTGGTTTATTTATTTACGTTTTAAAACTTCTATATATAAAAATAGTTGTGCTCATAACTTTCAGGATTCATAAGGGTTCCTTAACAATGGGATAACACTTTTCCCCTTAAAATGAATAAAAGTCTTCATGCCCACTCTGATGCATGTTTTCGAATTCTGTATTTCATTTTAACTTCCTGCAACCAATTGAAATTTGAACCAGCTCACTGATTCAAATAGGATGCTTTGTTCAGTTGTACAATGCTTAAACAGTGTATAGAAACAGAAGTTCCTTTAATGTATTAGGCTAAGAGTTTTTTCGCACAAATTCACTGATTTGTTTCTCAAATATTTTTAAGAGCCTCAATGTTCCCAAAACTACAGCTGACAGCTCTGAGAAACAGAATATTCTACTGCTGCTTTTCAGCACTGAAAAACAAATAATCAGATCTTAAGAGCCAACCAAAAGGTATTAGAAAAATCTCAACAGATTGTTTTATGGTACCGGATTTTGTAAGGTAACCCATCAACCCTGAAAATTGTAGACACCCAAAATTTACTCCAAGGAATAAAATCAGCTCCTATTAGTCAGTCATCCAAAGTTTCTAGTTCTTCAAGCTTCCCATGTGAGTTTGCTTCTTGGAAGACCTCTGAAGAACCAGGACTCTCTTTTCCATTGCTGTTAATTCTTCTTCTTTTTAGAGGTCTTTCATTTTTATCTTCAAAATCATTTTCATTTCTTGAAGTCGAATGAGCAATTTTAGGGTCAACGGAAAGGTTTTCTGTTTCATACCCATTTGTATCCTGATCCGTGTGAGGTGTTTTCTTACCACTGGTAGGTCCATTTACATGCAATCCTTCAATCTTTGCTTCATCTTTATTTGGTATCTCACCCGGCCCGTTAGTGGACACCCCTGCATTACCGAAACACACAGTCAGAAACAGAACAAAACCGTGAGCAATAACAAAACCATAAGCAATCTGTAGTACGTCAATAAACGCAGAAGTTTAACTAGTCCCGTTGAACTAAAAAGTCAATACTGGTCTTAGTATCCTCACTGCGTGATGAAAGAGTGATTTATTTTCATACAAGTGTTGTACATATTGCAATAGTGTCTATGGAAGAAGCCCTTATAAGCAACATCAGCCCTGAAAACGTCACGGAATCCAACAACACTACAAGCTGCAGGTGGACTGTCCTTATTTGACCGGTACTTCACTCAAACTCCTTTAGCTACCACTCTATTTTCACGTTCTGATTCAGCCCCTCAAGCTCTTCCCTCCTCTTGACAGTACTTTTACTTCAGCTCCTTCAGAATAGCTGTTCCCTGCTTTCGAGGTTTTCTCCCTTGTGGACCGATCAGGCCCTGGCTTTTCTCCTCTCATTCCTAACTACCCTTCAGCATCGCAAGTCTGGTAAGAATAGCTAACTGTCTCTCTGAGACAAGCACCAGAGAAGCACTGGTGTGCTGCACAGAAACATAGTTCTCAACCTATGAAAACTTCAGACAGCTGTTTTAAACGTCCTCCATGGAACTCCTCACAAAGTTAGCAACACACACCTGCATTAGCATGGGAAAAAACAAAACAGCTTAATTACATGTTACAAGGAAGATTTTTAGTGGAGATTTATCTTCAATACATGGCCACTGGCTAAGTGCAAACATGCTTATCTTTTTTAACTTAAAGCTGCTATCCCCTGGAAAACATTTAAAACTAAAATGGAATTGTTTTTAGAGAGGCAAAGCTGAACTTCTCCTTTAGCTTGTCATCTGCAAAGCTGCTGCAATGATTTGGCAACTCTTTAGGAGTGAGAGTGTATTTACTTACCATTCTGATTACTGTTGCTGGTTGTGCTGTCCTCCCTCTCAGACTGGCTGGTGCTGCTGTTGGAAGTTGTAGGAGGAGGGGATGGAGCTCTACTGGAAGCAGCGCTTTCGCTTTCATCTAAGAGACGGTCCATATAGTCTCTAAACAACAGAAATGCCATAGTCAGCATTGCCTTTGCTGTTTAAAGGACTGGTTTAATTTGTAAAAATATTTACTGATCTATTTCACGTATGCCCAGATCACATTTTGGGGTCTCTATGAAACACACAGACTTATGGTTTGTCCACAGCAACTATGTTTTTGCTGACCAGCCACTGCAGCCAGCTTAAATAAATTCAGCCTGTGCTTATATTAAGTTCCAAAAGACTGTGCACAAGCAGAAACTACAACATGCTGTGATGTTCTTTGTGCAGAGTGTTTTCAGGATAGTGTTCTAAGGGAGGCTCATATTAAGCTCCTGCAATTCTTCAAAGCAGTGATAACACGCTATTAAAGTAAATAAGGTTTGTGTATATACAACCCTGAAAGGAGGAAAGTTAAGAACGAGTGAAAAACTTCAGAGTTCAACGTAAGACATATTTTTATATCTGAATTCTATTACAATCCTACATTTCAAGTCACTTATGTATAGTAAATCTCTTATGAAAGATTTAAACAAACAAAGCTGGTTGGTAAAGCCCTTCTGTTTGGATTAACACCAGCAACAGTATATCCTCACACACACAATTATTCTGGATCTGATGTTGCACTCTAAATTCCCAAGTCTATCTGCAATAGCTTTCAAGAACAGACAAGTACAATCCTTAGTAGCATTTCTTTGGATACAACTTTGGATATCATATGCAAACAACTGCAAAAAAATCAGAGAATATTTTAAGTCATTAACCCAAAACCTCTACTAATTTGGGTAAAATGGGGGCAAAAAACAGATGGAAGAAAAAAGAGGAGGGAGGATGTTTTGGGGGGGGGGGGGGGAGGGAAGATAGTCCCTGACAATTAATTCAGAAGCTCTAGATGCCTCTCTGTAACAATCTACGTATCAGAGAAGCCACAGATGGCAACCCTTAATGTCATCCTGCAAATTCACTTCAGTGGTCAACACATGGTTCTAAAATGTTTAAAGAAATAATAATTAAAAAAAAAGAATAACAGAGAAGAAAAAAAGAGATGAAAGGACTGGGAGAAAGCCAGCTTGAAGGAGCGGGATTCTAGAATCACAGCATTCGAATGGAGGGCAGAAGAACTGGCTGACTTGGTCAGATGTGAGGAAGGAGAATACATGATGTTATGCCCAGATATCTCTCTACCTAGCAGAGAAGCAAATAGGCAAAGGAGCTATATAAGCACAAAAAAGCACTAGCACGGGTACTATATAGGCAGGGGTGCTTGCCAAGCAATACGCTTTAAGTATATACTAGGGCATATATCAAAAATCCCACCTGAACTTTGTGATCAATATCTTTGTATAAACACATTATGTATTTAAAACAATCCACATATTTGCAGAAACATCACGTCTGTGAAACATTTAAATAGAAAACAAGCTAAATTAAATAGCTGTTCAATGCAAATTTTTAGCCTAATTCCACACAAATGTATTCTAGAAATTACATTATATGCAACGTCCTGCTGCAAATTGGGTCTATGGAATCATTAGGTTGTCATTCAATTTTGTATGAGAGAAGCATGAAATAAAGATTTAGATCCGACATGTAAAAGCACATAGAAAACAAAGCACATCTTACGTTACACCAGGATGAAGATTGTATTTCTTCTTTCCAAACCGGGTCTGCTGCGCAAAGAAGTCATACCTCTCTGATTTCTTCCACATATAATAAAATGCAACACACTCACCAACTGATCTTGTTCGTACCTAGGGAATAAATGTCACACAAACTTTGACGAATTCAAATACATTTTTGGCAAAAAGCTACATATAAATCAAAAGCTGTGAAATTCAAAATCAATGCTTCTTTATACAACAGAGGGAATACTGGAAACTAGAGACAGAGTTTCAGAGGCCCAGAAATTAAAATGCAAAGTCTTACTGTATTTTAAAGAATACTGGAGATATCTCAAGGTGCTGTAATCAAAGACTTCAGGAGGAACGTTCAAGTCTATTACAACAATCTAAGACTAGGGATGCAGATCTTCCCATATGTCTGTGCACAGCAAGATTTTTGCACTTTCCTGAACCTAGGCTTCACAGTCACAGTTACAGAGGATTCTGGACTTTGACAAACCAACTTGAGTATATATTTAGGATAAATTAAAAGGAGTAAATATAGTGCTTTGTGGATGAAATTGTACGTATGAATTTATTTACGATGACATTTCTTAAAAAAAAAAGAAAAGAGAAGTAAATTTAAGAAATTCACTGTTTACCTTATTTGCCTGAATCACATGAAAATCCTTGCCATAGACTTTCAGCCCTTGTTCAAAGTTCCTACATTCTTCTTCTGTCCAAACAGATAATTCTTCTAAAGCAAGGAAATGCAATAAAGAAAACGGTGACTAAGATATAAGCATACAGACAATAAAAGAAAATTTAAGTGACACAAAACATACAATGATATTCAAGCTTCTTATGCCATCTGCTGACTAAATGAGAACTACCTCCAGAAATTTCACTTGCTAGTACAAAAAGGAAAATTCTCCCATCTAGTGAGTAGGCGGGAGCTTTGGCTGGCCTAAGTACCTTGTGGGTAGGGACCCGTTGTAAACAGTCTGTAACAACAGCTCTGCCCCAAGGAAAAACAACTAGGCAAGGGGAAGAAGGAAGGGCTGAGAAACCTCGTCTCACCTGAGATGAGCCATTTTGTCTCCAGAACCATAGGAAGCAGGTATCCTTCAACCCAGGACACAGCACGAAGCAGTTCATGCTATGGACTCACACTGCTTGCTGGTATTTGTAAGAAGCAGGTGAAAAGGGAGGGGAATGAGCTCTTCCCCTTATTGCTGATAAGGGCCAAAAACAATAGGCTATTAATTCCAGTTTGGCATAATGTGAAATTTTGCTCTCGCACTATTGAGTGGGAAATCTTGGGCGCGTTGATGCCAAAATAGACTCCTAGTAACTTTCAGACACAGTTCTAAGAACTTGACATAATTTGGCCTCATTGATTCTTAAGGTCACAAATAAATAAGGATCAAAATAGTGGGAGAACAAACTGATCCTGTTGATTTGATCATTCCTGCCTGTGATTTGCACAGTAAACTCTGGACAAGCCACACGTTTAAAAGCAGTGCCAACAGATCAATGTGCGAGGAAAATAACTTCCACCTTTTCTTAGTCTGTCTTGTTCCTTTGAGTACAAAGAAAAGATCAATATAAAAACAGGAAATACTAAAGACTCCCAAAGCATCTTCAAAACCATTTTTTTAAAGGGGTATACTTTTTAAAATAAAAGGTTTAGATGCTCAATCATCTTTATTTAGAATTGCAAATTATTTCGTTTTATACATGTTCACTTCATTAAATTTAATGACTGAAGAGGTCTAGAAGAACAATGAACAAAATACCCAAGGTATGTACAATTCAGCTGGCAAAAAGTCATTTTACATTTTAACATATCATTAAGTCACAAATATAAACATCAAGCTTGAAAGTTAATTTACAGAGCGTAAATTAAATTTACATTTGAGCATGTACCTGTTTATACTACATCTGCCAATTTAATCCTCTCTCTCAGAGAACATTAAGAGATTCACTAAAGGTTGCGTTTCAATGGGCACTAATATGTAATGCTTACATGCAATCCTATTCTAATGGAGTATCTCAATCTGTCTGACTGCAAAGCCCAATACCTGTGTGAGAAATAAAATGAGAGTTCAACAGTATAAATTTAACATTCAGGGTATCCTCACCTCTGGCTGCTTTTACATTAAATCTCAATCTTCGTAATGACTCTTCAGTATCAAAATTGCACTTAACCAATTCATACAATGCCTGGAAAGATAAAAAGACATACATGTAACATTCTAAATACCACTTAATTTATGTTATGCCACAGAAGTATAATTAGTAAATCACTAAAAAGTATTCAAAAAGAGATTAAAAATAAACTCTTTGAATGAATGTATTACAATTTAAGACAGAGCAAAGATTATTTCCTCTGTTTCCATTTCCAAATCTCTAATTACAGAACCACATATATACACAGGAATGCATGGGGGGGGGGGCTGTATAAAGAAAAAAAAATAAGTAGGCATTCATAAAACTTAAAAAAATTGTAATAGAACAGAACACATGTATGCACAGTTATTTATATATAAAATAAGGCATTATTGCATAAAGCAACGTTACGCCTAAGTTAACAGTTACCTTCTTCAAGTTTTGTATTTATTGACAGGAAAAAAACATCACAATTCTATTTCCCTAAGGAAGACTAAAGCTGTTTCAAAACCAATTTTAAGTCCTGGGAGTAAAACAGAATAAAGGTACAATTCATTCCGTAGGACTCTACTACAAATCCTAGTTATTCTTATATACCTGTTCATTGTCTTTAATATGTGATCCTTCCGGAATTGCATCTAAGCCTTTCTCATCACCCGTACGCCTTGATGCTTCATTTAGGAATTCAATCACTTTATCTTCTGGTAAGAAGTCAGGATTCCACAACAGCTGGTCATCGTTTTCATACACTGAATTAACCAAAGGCAAAAAGGAAAAAAAAAAAAAAAAAAGGAAAGCTAAAACAACAACAGAAAAGTTTATTCTCTCTGTTAAACCCTGGAAGACCACTAGCGCATAAATATTAATTTAGAACACCCATAAGGAATGGGCCAAAAATATTCTCACATACACAATGATCCGAACGACTAGGATACTCTGCCTTGTGTTATTGTGACATGGCTGGCATAATCGGTGCTCTAGGTTTGAGGGCTCATTTATGAAACTCCATCTTCTCTGTCCTGCTCCTAAAACCACTAAAATCATGAGGTAGCACAACTACCTGAAATAGACCCAATTCTCTCTGTTAAACCCTGGAAGACCACTAGCGCATAAATATTAATTTAGAACACCCATAAGGAATGGGCCAAAAATATTCTCATATACACAATGATCCGAACGAGTCTTTGGAGATTATTAGGATCAGTCAGATAAAAACAAAGAGCACAGCTCCAAAAACAGGGCGCTAAGACCCCTACCAGGTGCTCAGACCACTATACACAGACGTCTCGGCTAACATGGCTGGCAAAAGCCCATAAATCCACTACTTCTCTAGAGAAGATGATATCCAGAGGGCAGACTTTCAGAAGTCAAAATGGCTCCTGAAAGGAAGTCTTGCTTGCTAAGACCTTCCTACTACTTCCAAGATACCCTTCTAAAACCAAATTATTCAGGTAAAGATCACTGAATTTTAATACTACCAAACCTCTAGTGTTTTTTCCAGAACTTTTGAATAAGCTTTCTGACCAAGGAAGCTTTAGTAAACTGAAATTAATGGGATGAATATTTTAAGTTTGCAGAGCTATAGACTATTCAGAAAATATGGGAGACAGTTCAGAGGATATACCATTTGTCTCCCATATTTTCTGAATAGTCTATAGCTCTGCAAACTTAAAATATCAGTATGGCAAAATAAAGTAAAATTATTCAGGTTATTAAAAATAGAATTAGAATCTAAACCTTGCTAATGACCAGGCTTCAGTGAAAGAGGACCTTACAAAAACCAGAACAACAGTGATTTAAACATTTATCCTATTAGCTTGGTAAGCTTCTTTGACTCTTCGCCATCAAGAGAGACAAGGAGCAAACGTTTGTAAAAGCTGGGTTAGCACAGGTGCAGAAGATACAGGAGCATTCCATGCATCTAGAAAGCTCAGAAGGGCTGCTAGGTGCATCTTAACTTGAAAAACAAATTTTTAACATGAAAGTGGACCACAAATTAAAAAAAAAAAAAGAAGAAGAAGTTGGTAAGGAAAACGATTGAAGGTTTTGCAAAGAAACACAGTTCATTTCACAAAGCACGTATTCCATCACCTTTCCAGGGATAAACAGCTCATCCTGGAGGCCATCTCTAAGCCTGTGGAGGACAAGAAGGTGATCAGGAGTAGCCAGCATGGATTCACCAAAGGGAAATCATGCTTGACCAATCTGATAGCCTTCTATGACGGAATGACTGGCTGGGTAGATGAGGGCAGAGCAGTGCATGTTGTCTCCCTGGACTTCAGGGAGGCTTTTGACACCATCTCCCGTAACAACCTCAGAGGCAAGCTCAGGAAGCATGGGCTGGACGAGTGGACAGTGAGGTGGACTGAGACCTGGCTGGATGGCAGAGCTCAGAGGGCTGTGGTCAGTCACACAGAGCCTCGTTGGAGGCCTGTAGCTAGCGGTGTCCCCTGGGGTCAGTCCTGGCTCCAGTCTTGTTCAACTTATTCATCAGTGACCTGGAGGAAGGCACAGAGTGCCTCCTCAGCAGGGTTGCTGATGATCCAAAACTGGGGGGAGCGGCTGACACACCAGAGGGCTGGGCTGCCATTCAGAGGGACCTGGGCAGGCTGGAGAGGTGGGCGGAGGAGAGGCACCTCCTGAAGTTCAACAAAGGCAAGTGCAGGGTCTTGCACCCAGGGAGGAATAACCCCAGGCACCAGGACAGGCTGGGGGCTGACCTGCTGGAAAGCAGCTCTGCCGAGAAGGACCTGGGAGTGCTGGTGGACACCAAGTTGAGCATGGGCCAGCAATGTGCCTGGGCTCCCCAGGGCAAGAGAGACATGGCGCTACTGGAGAGAGTCCAGCGGAGGGCTACAAAGATGATCAAGGGACCGGAGCACCTCTCCTGTGAGGAAAGGCTGAGGGAACTGGGCCTGTTGAGCCTGGGGAAGAGAAGACTGAGGGGGGATGTGATCAGTGTACAAGTATCTGTCAAGAGGCCAGATGCTTCTCAGTGGTGCCTATCCTATCACTGATAGGATGAGAGGTCCCTTCCAACCTTGGCCGTTCTGTGATTCTTCATTAAGATATGACCTCCAGTAGAAGTAGAAGTAGAACACTTCTTTTCAGGAGATAACAGGTAATTGATTCTAAGCCGTTCTTAATGATGAAAGCAAAGCACACTGCAATGTTTATGAATGACAATGGCTAATAAATCTTGAAGCGCCTTCAGCATTCTTTCAGTTTTCAGAGATTGTTTGATTTTCAAGTCCAAGCCTCTCAATTTTGTAGATTCTTCATAATCTGAAATGCTCTAGTAACAGCTAACTTGGTCTCCATGCATACCTCCTCAGAGAGCCAGTCCACCTCAATTAGCTTAGCGTATATTACTTTGTCATTCTTTGCCCACAACAGCATGTCAGAATGCACTCTGAAAAGCAATGTAGTTATTCTTAAGAGTTCTAGCATTTTTGCACCTTTGCTTATGGAAACGGTTCCAAGAGGAGTAGCCTTTTTAGAGAGCAACAGAAAAAGATGGGAAAAGAAAATACTAAATACAGTCTCAGGCATTTATTTTTCTACTCTAACTTTCACTAATATTCCAGATGGAGTCCTGTCAAAGATTTCATCCAAAACACAGCAAAAAGGAAAGAAAGTGTCAGAATATGTAAAGCCCTACTGGTATATAAAGCTGGACAAGCCCTTGAATGACTGGTGAAAATTTAACTCTCCTCCTCAATACTTTTTTCCCCATGACGTAGGTTCTCTGTTCCACAAAGAGAGTTTTTCTGTAGTCTTGCACGCAACTTTTATGTAGGTTACTGCAATGCATAAAACAGCTATATCTTTTTTTATTGTTGGAGGCCAGAAGTCATTTAGAGCAAAGCAAATACCAGTAAGAGCAGGTGACTGATCAGTAAAGTACAGTTTACTGAATCTCTGAACTTACTGAATGTGTGATTCAAGCTCTATTTTTAGATGGTAGCAAGAAAGCATACAAAGAGCAACTTCTTCACAGTTGAAAACATACAGATTAACAGATATTTTATAATTTGCTGGTTTTGTACTTTTTTCCAAAACAGATATAGGCTGTAGCACCTACCAGTAAGACAAGTTATTAATCTACAGCAAAATTATTAATCATCAATATAATTACAGTTGCACTACAAGATTTATTTCAAAATGTAATTGATCTTTACAGAAATCTGATTTCTGTTTGCATTTTCTAGACTTGAGCTCTACTCAGTCAAAAAACAAACAAACCAACCAAATCAAAGCTACAGTTCTAGCATGCAGAAGGTTTTTGAAAGACCAAACAATGTACTTCTTTCTCCATGAAGTTTTCTGGCTATGTACAAAAATACAAATAAAAAAAAGATAATCAACATTCAGATGAAACGTATGAATTCTCAGTGTTACTCGCAGCAGTGGAAGTGAGCCGCTAATCCCTTCAGTCTCTGGAAATAATGTTAAATGTGTCTCCTAGAATCCACAAGGAAGAACAGAAGGGAATTTTGGTATGTAGAATAGATGCAAAGGAATCCATATTGGTTAATGTGAAGAGTGAAATCAAAGTTAGCCTTGTATAAAAGGCTTTGCATTCTGCACCAAACACTTTCAAATAACTTAATACAAAGTTTAAATGACATTTAAGTGTATGAGCTTGGCAAGTAGGTTTTCCTGGGAACTCCAGGTTCATTTTAAATGGCTAGTCTGGACTTCTCACATAGTTTTAAGTTACCTTCTCTTCAACCTCTCTGGCTACCGAGTCCAGAATTTACTCCTGCTGACAGGATATGTCAGCTTCAGCGTGGACCTGCTGTCAAGTCAAAACCAGCACTGACTCTCTCTTGATAGTGTCTAGCTACAACAAGCTACAGTGTAGCCACAACAACCTGGAGCTTAATGCAAGACAACTGCCACTGCTTGAGTACTTTCTCAAATTCCAGGAAGGAACAGTTTTGCGCTGGCTAGGTTAAAACTAGCTTATATTAAACCACAAAAGCTGCAGTCCCAGACTGAGTGCAGTGTAAACAAATTCTGAGTAAGAGGTTGAATCAACAGGGAAATTTGCTTCTCTCATGCACACAGTTGGGTATAAACCGAGCCTGCCTTCGTAATATTGACAGCGTACAGCTAAAGGCTCTGGTTGCAAGGGAAAACAAAAAGTTCCTCCCCAGAAGTAGGATGAGAAGTTATTTAACACTGACTGAAGAGTTATAAAGTGTGAAAATCAAAGCTGTTCATGCTGTTTTTCCCCTTCAACCATGTTAATCCAATTCCAGCCACACAATTTATTATTTTGTTTCACATAAACAAAATATACCAGGTGAAGAAGTTAAGATAATCTACATAAAAACTTTGTGTAAATTAGTAAATTAGAATACAAGGGCTCAATAGGCAGTAATCTAGGAATATAATCCACCTTTTCCTTTCCAAGCCTGAAACTTTGAGGGCGAAGTACATAGTTTGAGATGTAGTATCTTTCACTTGAAGGAGCTGTTTTATTTTGTAAGACATACGACATGAGTCAAATAAATCTTCCATTTTTCTCCATCAAACACTGAAATTAATCATTTTGACAATGATAGTAGTGTTAAGTCTCACCTTTTTCATTCTCTTTGTATTTGCATACACCAGCTGGAATTTCAGCTTGAAACATAGACCCCACCATGATTTCCTGTTTTGAAATAACAGAAGCAAAAAGTAAAGCAACCACAGCTGTGCTTCCCCCCCCTCGTTAGAGAATGACAGTATGACCATATCCTTTTTTATTCTTTAAGACTTTTATTATGTGAAATCTAAAGAAAGAGTAAACAGAAAACTATATGGAAATGTTTTTTCGACTATATGGAGAGGTCTTTAACACTGGTTACTATCAGAGCTCTTACTTTTGTGGGACAAAACAAGAGCGGAATTGGGTAATCTACAGAGCTGACAGTTTCTATGTAATAGATCAACTCATTATTCATGGAACAAAGACTTTTTTTTAGCAGCCCTTAATATTTACCTTTTTCCAATCTTCTGATGGAATATAATCTTCATCTTCTTCAGATTCCTCTTCTATTTCACTGTCTACAAGAAATTGTTTAAACATTTACATAGAACGAGCGATGAAGGAGCCCATGTAGGCCAACAGCAGCCTCCAGCAGAGTCAGGCTGAGCAACGCAGCCCGTGAGGTCACAGCAAGCCCCAGGAGCACCCTCCACGGGCGGTGGGAGGACATGAGCTGGGCTTCTTGCCCCACTGGTGTTCAGCAGCCCCACTCTGCCTCTCAGCCATCTCATCTAATGCTACAGAAGCCCAAACGGCAGTTCGCCTGACACTGCTAAACGTCTTGGTGTTGACTACTTTAAAAAAAGAGACCCACCCAATGTTCGTATTTAGAATGGCTTAATATACAGAACAGGGTATGAAAAGTTAAGACACAAATGAAGACATCATCAATTTTAATACTTCCTAATACAACTTTCCTCCATCCAGCTTTGAAGCAGTTGAAATGATCCATCCACACAAGTTTACTCATTATTTTCTGAAAGTATTTTTAAGTGGATGTTCACACTGAAATCTAAATTATTTGCCATTTCAACATCACTTTCGACGAGCTCCTAACTCAGTTACTGCTGCTCTTTCTCCCTTGCAGCATCTTAGTCTTATGGGAATTTAGTAGGCTTGGATGCATTGCTGTACTTAAAGTAGATTATTTAGGATAAAATGTTAGGATTTTAATGATATGGGAGTAGTTTCCTTTCACAAGGTACTGAAAGCAACAAGTGCCAAGTTTACGTATAGCATGTGACAATCTAAAAAGATTTGGACATTAAATTATATTCTGTACGCAGTTGAACATTGTTAAAAAACCTAAAAGCAATGCAATACACTTGCATTATGCTAAAGTTTAAAAAAAATAGAGTTAATATGTTTGCAAATATCTTGGTGCAAATCCCTGCATAGCCTCATGCTGAGGTTCCTTGGCATTTTTGGATTAATATAAACTACAGATTAGAAAACTGCATCTCTACAATGTTACGGCTAATAAGTATCAAGTAGAAGGTATTCTATATCAAGCAGAAGCAACCTTTGCCTTAATTTTCATTTGTTAAAACAGAGAACAGTAGGAATTCAAACATCAGCAACAATCAAGCCTACCCAAGGAAGGTAAAGTATCTGTTGTGCAAATGGCTCTCTTGATAGCACAATACTAAAAGGTTCAAGATCTTTTTAAGTTGTCTAATCAGGACAACTATATAATTAGATCAACAGTTTCAAATGGCTGCCAAACCAATTTTTAAACAAAACAAGAGAAAAAAAGAATCAGTCCACAAGGCTGGCAACAGCAGCAAATGCGCAGTTTTTCAAGTAGATTTTCTTCGTGGCTATCTCCACCTTCATTACTTCAGGTTTAACAATCTATTGGCCTTTTTCAGATTTCACCGATTTTGTTTTTTCTATTAATGATCTTGAAGAAAAAGTCAATTTTTATTTCTAGTAAATTTTGTTTATTTCTTCATTCACTAGGACTCTCAACTTCTTTCAGTGAGGACACAAATTAGTGTCACCTGGCTTTGTCATGATAACCACATGCGGCACAGCTATTACAGCAACTATCTAGTTGGAACAGTGCATTTCTTACCAGCAAGTATTTTTACCTGTGTCCTTGGTGGGAATTGGCAGCTGAAACAAAGATGGAAAGGTAATACCACGCTCAACAGCCAGGTGTTGCTGGACGCCTACTTAATGTTCCAAAGACACTAAAGAAACGCTGCGATTGCACAGTACAGCAACATATGAGTTGCAGATTCCACAGCAGAGTATTTACTAAAAAGATCATACTCCTTCACTGTGCAAATTAGTCTCAGAAGTCATTTACAGCACTTGGTCTCCACGTGCAGGGAAATTTTGCAAAAGGGCACATCCACATGGATCAGTTTTTGCTGGATCATGAACTGAACTGTTGAAACACTAAGAGCAATTTAATTTTTTCAAAAAACGTAGTCCTTTGTTTTAAGAAGGGATAATACCTAGTGCTCTTACAAAACGGCCCTCATCGGGTGAGAAGATTAGCATTTCGCTAAAAATAGGATTTTTGTTACTCGTTATTTTCAGTGTAATGATAATCAAGAATAGTGATAAGAAAAAACAAACAAATGCCTACAGGCATCTAGATGCATATTTCAGAAACAGAACATCATGTTAATTAGAGCTGTTAATATGCAGAAGCCAGTTATATTGAGATGACTGTACTTAGTATTAAACTATACATACTTGTATCAAAATATTTACATCGACGAGGGCGAATTATCTCCCGTGGATCTTGAGAAGCAACAGATGGTGCTGGGTCATCATTAGATGACTGTGTCTCATCTTCCTGACCTGATGAATCCTTTATGGTCTCCTCCTTAAATATAAAAAAGCAAAGAGGAGACCAGTTATACCTTTTGTGTGACAAATACTATTTTGGCAACATTTCTCCCCCAAATGTCAACCTATCAAAGTCAAATATCCTGTGTCTAACTTCAAGTGACTGTACAGGTTGTGGCTTGTCCAGACTAAGCCATAACAAATGTTTAAACGCATTATATTATTTTTTGACCTGGATTTTAAGCATTATCAGATTTAACACTCAGACTAATATGCCAAAAACATGAACCAGAACTAAATACCACAGCTTGTTCTTACATCAGTCAAGCACACTCTTGCAGTTTTCATTCAAAATCCATCAATAATGGATTGCTAGAATTTGAACAGAGTCATTTTCTTCATCAGAGAAAGGAGGTTTTTTCCTGCATCTTCCAAAGTTTGCTGTTTTATAAAAAGAAAAAAAATTGAGGAGAATGCAGGCTATGCTAGGTTTGCTCTGCAAAGCAACTACTTGTCCAGAAAAACCTCACGTATGTAAGATTTCTCTGCTTTAATCTTTTGGACTGTTTTTTGAGGATATGGAATTGGCAGACCTATGAACAGACTCAATTGTGCACCACTGGACATAGTATCTGCTACTTTCCTCAAATTATCATCTTAAACTCCTATCAAATTATCACATGAAATTCCCATCAAAACAGGGATTAGAAAATCTACTCTTGCTCTTGACTACATTGGAATTACATGTTTTCCTTTTCTGAAATAGAGTTTTTTGATAGAAATAGATCAAAATCAATTCTATGCTTAAAAAAAATAGAAAATCTATTGCAATAAGTTTTCTTGCAACTACTGTCCTGAAATTTTACCTGTCTTTAAACCTTTCCTTATAAATTTTCAATAAAGAGGACAGAAATTATCAATTGGCAGCACTTTTTTCCACTTCCATTAAAAAAAAAAGTCAATAACGTGGTTTGATACCACAGGTACAGTGTATCAACAGACTTGAGTGTGCATATCACTGAGCCATTAAAAGATCAAAAGTTAGAATAAGTTTATTAGAAAAAACACAACAATAAGTATTAACACAATCAAGGAAAATTAAAATGATAGACATTTAAAAACACATTAACGTTTTCTATTATGCACGCTGCCAATGTCTTTTACATGCTTTATGAACAAGTTGTGAGCATTCATACTTGCTCATTCTAAAACAGAGGCATTAGGCACAACATGTTTATGTGTACCTTTAACAGCAAACTAGAGTATTATCACGTGTTCAGCTTAAAGCAGATTAAAAATAGAAAATAGCCAAGTGCAATATCACTAAGCACGTAGAAAGATTTGCACTTGCAGAGAAAGCATGAATGATTTATAATATGACTCCACAGATGTATTTTACTGCCTCTCTGCTAAGATCACGCAAGTATTTCAAGACTATTTCATACTCATTCTTGTATGCTGAGGCAGAGTCATAACAGGCTAGTGCTCTTTGCGTCCAGCCTCCCCTCTCCCTTTTGTTCCAATCCTCTCAAAACAGGGTAGGATAAGTGAACATGTACTTTTGATTCAGCCACAGTTCCAAGTCTGCCCCTAGTTTAAAATGCTGATTAAGTTTAGCGTGCCAGACTGAACTGTCGCTGCTGGTAGGCAGGAACACATCCGTTTCTGCAGCTTACTACAAACTTGTTAGTCTCCTACAAAGGAACAAAGACGACTCCTCATGCTGCAAACATCTTAGCAGTGAGAAATACTGAGATTTTATCCGTTGAAGAGAAAAGATAAGCAGTATCTTAAAAAAAACAAACAAAACAAAAAACAAAAAAAAACCCCACAGAGCTAGTGACAGATCTGGAGAACTGCTGAAGTGGTCATGAGAACATAGCAAATGGACGTTGTGACAGAAAGTAATCAAGAAGCACAGACACAAGAAGGAAATGAGACTTCAGGAGTACCGCTATGCACAACTAAATTAACCTCTGTGTGTCTTATTTTAATTTTGCATTCTTCATGTTGCCTTAGCTTCTTCCCCTCCCCAGCTTCTTGAAACTTTTCTAATGTAAAGTAGCTACATATCTTTCTTCTTTCTGAACTATTCAACCTGTGCAAATAACAATCTTTTACATATATCAAAGGAGCTCATAAATCATAAGAACTTAACTTTCCAAACCAGCTATCTCATTCCTTTGTGTCTCTCCTGAGATTCTAAAATGGGTAAGAAATCAAAGAACAAAATGGATCCTTTTTAAATCCAGACTAGGTAATACCACTTCTACTAATGCTTATGCTGTTTTGTTGCTGACAGTACAAAGGTTTCAACATTATACTGTAATTCAGGAAGCAACCCTGAGTGCCACCAATAATGGAGAAGTTACAGCTGTGTCCATGACAGGGCAGCATTATTACGAATATGTATGACACAGGCAAGCAGAAAAGACTCTTCTAAAATTAGATTTATTCATTTTAAGAGCACACAGGAAAGAATTTTAAATATGCCAAGTTCACAGCTGTACATTACGCAAAAATATTTGAAGCATTAGATTTAATCAACAATTTAAATACAACCAGGACAATTACTGCCAGTTTGTAAAAATACAATTTAAAGTAAGAAAACTTGCAGCAACCTCCAACACTCACAGAGACATCTTTTAATTCAATTTCCCACTTCACTGTTCAGTTTCAGTAATCAGCTTTTTACCTTGAAATAAGTAGTCAGACATATTTATAAAGGTGCCTTTAGGCATTTAAAACTTAAGCTCTGAAGCCAAATAATTATTTGTGAAACACAATTATGACCCCTTCTTACACGATACTGTATGTATATATGTACTCCAATTTGTTTCAGCAACGGTGTGGAATGATACAGATGAAATTAAGAGTAATTACGAGAAATACAGATGGATAATTAAGAGTAAACATTAGAGTACAGTACACAAAGCATCTGAAATCAACTATACTGGGAATTATTTCTGCTGTGATGTGACACCTTGAACAGTTGTCTAGTACAGAATGGCTAAATGGAAGTAAGTTTCAAATTAGTGTAAACACTTACTTTGTTTTCTCCACTACAGCCACTGTTGTCATCATTATCCACATCGTCGTCATCATCTCCCTCCTCCTCTTCCTCTTCATCATCTTCATCATCATCCTCCTCTTGCAGTGGAATGGTACCATCATAGCCATAAAGGCTAAGCAGCTCCTGGATTGGCATATCACTTTCCTGAGAAACATCCAAAGTTTGAGATTTTAAGAAAAATATTTCACATCACACGTCTGCTCGGCAGTTTAGAAGTATTTTAAACATAACCCAACAAAAATAAATATGTAATCTTCAGGTATATTAAGAATGTCCGCTCTAAAATGAATGGATGGTCAGAATTAAAAGTTTCGGGGGGGGGGGGGGTCCCTTTTTTTTAAAACCCCCCCCCCCCCCCCCCCAAATGCAGCAGAACTTTTCTTTCCTCATCCTCTACACATTTATAGCTGACTTTGCATAACAGCACGTTCTTAAAGGGGCTATAAAGCCCATTAAAAGGGCACCAGAGGGCTGTTTGCCCCATACTGCCCCTGGTATTTGCCTACTACCACTCGATCAAAACAGCAGCACTGTAATGTGACAGGTTACATCTGGTTATATACGTAAGGGAGATGCTTGTTTTACGGTCACGCAATGAATTCATGCCTATAAAATGACAAGGCACACATTTATCATGTGACCAAGATATAGGTGCTGTCCATCTCAGTGACAGATGAAAAAATGTGCAGGTGGCTCCTAGAATGTGACTGAATATCTAACTAGTCAGGTAACACAGATGCTTGCATTTCAGTTACGTGCTTTGGAGGTGCTGTCAGTCCCTGGGGAAAGACCGTAGCTAAAGGCTACCAAGATAAACCATCCAGCCTACAACCCATTTCACACCCAAGATGACCTCAGGAAAGAGTGGCAGAGAAGATGTGAAGGAATTACTCTGGCAGCCAAATACGACGTGCGGGCCACACATCATATACCTTCAGTACAGACACAGTACAGTACAGACACACCTTACTGGAACGTTAGTTGATTTTTTTTTCTTTTCTCCCACGAAAACTGCCGGAAAAAGTTACAGTATTTTGCACTTATTTATGGAAAAAGAAAGACACAACATATGAGACTGCAGCAACTACTTCACACAGACAGGTAAGATGCTGATTTGTTTTTGTAGGTACTATGAAGCTAGCTGCCTGGCAGTAATTTGCCCTAACGCATGGCAGCGCTTTTTACAGCGGAATAAGGACCAGAACTTGCACTATCTAGCTTGAACATGGTGTTAAATCTTGTTTTGGGGGAGTTGCCATATAGGGTTGACTCCGTGCAGTCCTATGACCATGGCCACGAATACAAAGTGACGCAAATCAAATGCGCTTTTCAATCTCATTGTGCCTCTCCGCTTCCTGGGTGAAACAAAAAATGAGAGGTGTGTATGACGGATCACCTTATATTCAGGTAAAGATAGTAGTAATGTTTACAGATACATGCACATTTCCTCATTTAGAAGAAAAGCAAGAAGCTTTTAAGCTAGTTGTCCACAAAAAGCACACACAGTTGGAAGCAAACCTATTAAAATACATGCACATTTAAAAATCTTTATATTTAGAATGCTGATCCACTCTGAAAGGCTATTTCAAATGACATAGACTCAAGTTTACTGGCTCCAGAACCATTATCAGATGCATTCACTTTATTAACACAAACTATTAATTGCCAAGTCTGCAAATGAATCACTTTTAATAGCTCAGTATCCAGCCCGCAGGGGCAGTATATGGTTTCCCTAAAGAGATTTTTCAGAGCAGAAACTTTCGGAGAGCTTTTCAAAAATCACCTCTCACAAGAGCATATCCTTTGCTTATTATTCAGAGGTGTATGCCTATTCTCAATACTACTACTTAGTAGGTAATTTAAGTCCTGACTGATAATCAGATTTCGTAGTTATCTGCCGACCCTACGTTTCCTCCAACGAACTCTTTTATGAATTAGCCACCACTGATCAAAAAATCTCTATTTTCTTGAGACACGCTAATAATATCAATTACAAAAGGCAAATGTTGCTAGTTCTGGTGTGTAAAATTAAGTATACTATAGGGGGTTATCAGGATTCATTGTCTATTTATGTTATTTTATTTCAAAGAACTAAACCATTCAGTCAACTTACTGGGCTAGTCTTTGGTAAGCTACATACGCAGTAGATGCAGACTGCGTGGGCCTAAATCTTCTCACCTTCCCTCTTCACTTCTTGGTCCTACCGTATTGTTTTATGGAATGAACACTTAGAGGCAGGGAACTTATGTTTTACGCTGACAACAGACAGGACTGATCTGAATTAAAACGTTATAGTACAGCTATCAGAAAAATAATATTCACGATACCAAAACAAACGTTCTCCAGTACGTTTGGGAAAGTAATACACTTTCATTAAACAGGTGTCACCGCTATTCCATTTGAAGACACATACTGAGAATTGGGAAAATACTACTACGATTTGTAAGTATGTGAGAATAATGTAACAGGCATATTGCTATATGTTACTTAGGAAAATGGTATTGTATTTAGAACATTTTTCTGAGGTAGAACCTCTTAACTTGACATACACCATTATAATTCAAAAAGCTCCAAGTGCCAGAAACTCCCCAAGACAAAATGCTTTGGGTACCTAACGATGATTTCTGCATTGTTTTAGGATACTGTAAAACGAGGAAAGGTTCTTCCATCTGGAGAAGAGCTAAGTGAATGGGAGTGATGTAACAGAGAACTATATCATAATCAGAGGAGGTAAATATAAATAATTGTGCACTCATCTAAGAGCTCAGGGGCAACCCTTGAAATGAACACACACAGGTTTAAAAACCAAGATATTCCTCAAACTAAATGAAATTGTGCAACATTGCCATATGCCTTGCGGACGCTAAGTTTACATAGGTTAAAAATCAATTGGACAAACTGGTAGTGGGCAGGGGGAGAAGAATGCTGAGAAGTATTACAGACAAAGACGACAACACCTGTTCCAGGTGCACCTCAACTGCAACCTGCTGGAGGCTGGAAGAGTATTTGGGGGAAATACTGCATACTTCCCCTGTTTTATACTCCTCCTCAAACACCTGCTCTCAGCTTTTGCTCCTAGCAGTTCTCCCTTTTAAAGGGAACAGGATGTTGATGCATGTCCCTAAGAAAACCCAAGGGTCCTCCATGAAAAGGAGGGCCCAAAAGGAGAAATCAAGCGATTACGGGGAACAACAAATGGAAAAAGGAAGGGGGTCAAAGGCCTAAAAATATTTAAGTCATGCAGGGAGGCACCAGGCACAGCACCCTGACAATGCTCACTGCTTCCTAAAGACACCCAAGCAGCAGTGCAAACCACCCAGTAGCACTCTGCCCACAGATGGGACAAAGGTAACGAGCTAGACCCCATAGTCATCAAATTCCCCATATTACACTCCTTTCAGCTGCTGCCTTTTATAGCCAGCTTGGCTAAGAGTAGGAGGAGACTAAGACTTTCTGTAACTTGGTGGGGCCTGGCTACTTACTATTTCCAAGAGAGAGAATGAATACAGCCTACCAGAAATTATGCTGCCCAGTTTCCCACATTTGGGAAAACTGTAGCATCAAAATAAGCCCAGAATACAAGAGATGTGTCCCATCATGGGGAAAAAAAATCACCTTCCTGACCACTGCATCTCCTGGGCTGTGGGAAAAACAATACTGGGTTAGCCAGGACTTTGGTCAGATACCAGTACGGATGTTCGTACATAAGAAAATAGTATTACTGAATACACATGCCTGGATATGACCAAACACAGTCTGATGCATCACATTCCAGATGGCTTTTCTGCTCCCCAAGAGTTCTTACCTTTCAAGAAATATCACCAAGAACCATCAAGTCCCATAATTCTAATTCCTTTCAACTACTGTTCCACTCTCAGAGAACCGTATTTTTTCCATATGCTATAGCAGCATAGAGGGCGACTTCAGGTCTCTAGAGAGAGACGAGCTACTGCCATTTACACAAAAACGTATTCACATAAATCCATACACAAATGCAGGGCACTGTCAACCTCAAGTAGTAATGTACTACAGATTCACCAAATTTTCAACCAATGAGTACAAAAGATCCTTAACCTCAGAGGAAGGTGTTACTTCTATGACACTCAGAAGTTAAATCATTAAGGTTCAAAAATTCCTTCGCAAAGCCTGACTGCCACTTTGTCTCTGAAGGAGCTGAACTAGTAAATCCAGCACATTCAAAGCCTAGGGGGAAATCTGAAGTAATATGTGTAAACGACTGGGGAAAGCAAAGACAGGATAGCACTTGTCTTGACAACAGTTTTGCGGCTTAGGTTGTCTATCATCCACGTCGAAGAAATGACATGGTTTTCAAAAAAAAAAAAAAAAAAAAAAAAAGGTGTGGGGGGGAAAATAAGCCTTGATGTATGGCTTGCTATCCCAGAAGCAGAAGTAACTACAGGTCTCTAGCAAGATCCTGTTGGCGTGGAAGTATCTGAGGCTCAGTAAAAGGTCTACCTACAATATCCATACAACTTGACGGTAAAATTCTGTGCCAATCTGTAAAAGCAATCTCCAGAGAAGAATAGCACATGGAGCAATTTGAATCCAAGTCATAACATTGCTCACTGCCCTTACTACAAAAATTTCTGAAACGTGGAAAAATTATAAAATTATAGCCCCTACAACTAGGATATGAGGGAAAAAATTGATGTTGAAATACGATTAGAAACAAAGCATTGTAAATGTGGTGATATAATTACATAATCAGATGTTGAGCCTTTACAAAATATGAGGAAAAAAACCCATGTATTTTCAACTTAAGAACCGTATGACATACATGTGAAATTCTATTTCCCATTTAATCTAGATGAAGCATGTTTAGATTCACGATTTATTTATCTTTAGGTTTACAGTTTAATATCAAACCTGAAATTAACAGAAAGAAATTATCATTTACATCTGAAATGTAGATTAAATTTATTAAATTAATTTAAAGCCATATGGGTATAATCACCTACACTGAACAGGATTTGTACATTAAATTTCTATTTGAAGATTATTAATGATCTGTTCCGGAAGCTTTTTCAGTCAATGAGGTCACAGTATCTAAACTACTCTAGAACTTACAATGAACATTTACAATGAACATTATTTACATTATTCTTTGTAAAGAATATTATTCCTGACAGAGGAGTAATTTAAAAGTAGTACATAAGTGATAGCAGAAGCTTAAAACAAACACGTTTTAAGATGTATTATTACTATTATCAATACTTGGAAGCTCTGATCCCAGCTCTGCTGATCTTACTATGTGGCTTTGAGCAAACCACTTAATCTGCATCTCCGTTTCCTCTGCCTTAAAAAGGAAGATACTCCTATCTGCTTCACTGAAGTATTATATGAAAGTTTGTCTAAAAAATGCAAAAGAAATGTAAAATTATTGGATTCTTATTAAATTGAAATTTGTATGCACTAATCAAGTGCAAGCGTTTATTAGGAAATAGTAACACTGGAACATACAAGTTTAGTCAGAGCATACTTGAACTTATATTAGCTCCAAAATGCAAGTCCTGTACCGATAAATATAAAGAAACTACACAAGCACAGAATTATACATTATTGCATGTTTATGCACCAGTTTTCTTGTCCCAACTTTTGAGAACTGCAAATCTAGCTCGGCCCCTTCCCCCATCTATATTATTTGCCTATTAGTGTTTTAGGGGCATGTTTTTGTTTTGTCCCAAAGAGAGGGGAAAAAACCTGCACATGTTTTTGCGTAAGACTGTGGGCTGTGGTTATGTTTTATGACTACTTAATGCTACCTACCCTGTTAAGATCCTCTATTTCAGAACTGAAGTTTGTTTCTCCTTCCATCATTTCCTCCTCTTCTAATGTCCGTTCATCATCAAAGTCATGCACCAGCATATCAGCTGATGGATCAAATTCATGGTCATCAGATGTTGCTGAACCTCCTGATAGAAAACATTTTAAAGATTTTTTTTTAGTTAGATCATGGCCTCAAAGAGTTTAGTTTTTTATTTTGGTGACATTTTAATACTCAAATTATACTGAAAAATTAAAGTATCTTCAAAATCACTAAATCATTTATCTTAGGGAAAGCTAATCCTATTATTCAGAGGACAGTGAAAGCTGCCATTTGGGTGATAAGAAATCATGGAAAAAAGAACCAGGAGTTAGCCAGTCAATTCTCCAAGTACTATAAAACTGGACGTTGGGCCCCTAGTTAAATGCTTGTACAATGTTCAGTTGTTGAAGACATAATTCCTACCTAATCAGAAGTCTATCTGAATCAGAGTTCTACTGGGAGCAAAAATACTCATAAAATACAAACTTGGGCAGTTGTTTCTTTAATACTTTCCAAGCCTTCTCGTTTATAACTACAAAAACATAGCCTTACAACTTTTCCAAAATTTAAGCTTCAAGTAAGCTTCATAGTTATGTGGATTTTATATATATGATGTAGAAACCTTAGTTATTTTTCCCCATGCATTTTTCACAGTTCTTTGTAGAAAAGTCTGGTTGTATTTTGTGAAAACAAAAAATAAATGAATGGATGAACGATTTGGCAGATGTAGCACTTGGATATAATTTAGCAATACCTGATTTCTAACTCTAGCTCTGATAATGTTTGTCCACATACGTCTCTGGACAATTTAAATTTCATTTTCCAAAGCCTGGAGATTGTATCCATACTAATGGTGCAAGAGGGAGGAAGAGTTAACTATATTTTGTAGTTCTAAGTGTTAAAGCAGTTGATTGTTTCTTTGAAAAAAATAAGAGTCCAAGAGACAATGGCAGTCCAGCTAAGGTAACTATTGGAAAGCTGTTCAACTATAAGGATGCCAAAAATTTTGGAAATAAATAACACTATGTAAAGCAGTAGCAAAGTGGAGGAAAAAAAAAAAAAAGAGATATTCATAATTTACACTGAGGCTGATTACTAGATACCCAGTAATGCTGAGATACTAGTCTATCAGGAAATAAGCAGCTTTGAAAGCAGGACTCATGAAAACCCTCATTTTTAGTAACCCAACGAGGAAAAAATACTGTTGTTCTTGCTGCTTTTGTTCTTGATGCTACTCTGCATAAAAGTATACAACAACGATATAACTAATAACTGAGAGCATACAAGTGCCTTAACTGTCTTAATGTTTTTACTCTTTATTTAACTCTAATACCAGCAGATAGCTGCACCTAGAGGGCTGGTGATGCTCTTGCTGGCTGCAGTACTCTCTTCCGTGCCCCAACACTCGCTCACACTGTGCTCCTTAAGATACGCCAGCGTTCCAGCACATACATTTGTGCAGCTCTGCAAAGAACAGAATAAGCTCCCAAGTGTACTTTACCATACAAAAATTTCTAATGGTATAGACTAGAAAGAAGCAGTGTCTGCTTAAACCAATATTGCTGCTAACTTACTCATCAAATTTTATCCTTGGATTGTTATCTGGAAGAGACCAGTCAGAAAAATTTTTCAAGGGTGCCCTCTTCCCTCACAAGTTTAGGAAATATTAAAAATATTTACCTGGGCTTGAAGACTCAACAGAAGGCTAAAAAAAGAAAACACAGGAAATTATTTTTTTTCTATGTTGAATCTATACAAACTGAATTCAATAATTCATCTGATACAAAAAGGTTATAAATGAGCAAGCTCCTGCAAATAATACATTTACTAATACAGCACCACAGCAACTCCGAAGCAATGTAAGATAAACAGCATTCATTTTCTCCTTTATATATCTATATCCTTGCTCTATTTCAGGAATAATAATTGGAAGAACTGCCCATTTTGAGATGCAGTAATCGAGTTCATGAAAGTATAAAATAAAGCAAATCAATTCATTCTGAAAATAATATTACAATTCCACCATCAGTTGAGTATGGCATTAACTGGTGCTACTGCCAGACTAGGTAATGCTACCTTCCCTCCACCTCTGCTCGTTTCCACTCCTTTCCTCGTGCCAATACAAAACCAAAAACTAACAGTACTGATAGGGTTAGTTTTTAACAGATCCAGCTCCGATCTGCTTCCGCGTACTAAAAGCCCTTCTCTACAGCCCAGATACGTGCCAGATTACATTGACAGTGGAAGCAGAGTTTAAGATCAATTATTCTTCATATTTGAAACTACATGCTATGCAATACCTAAATTCCCTGTTTGTATTTCAGTTAAGAAACAAAAACGTAAAAGATGATAACAAGTCACAACGAGGATTCCTCATAGAACAAAGGGAAAAAGCAATTTAATCTCAATCTCTAACTGAACTGTGAGAAAAGGCAGAAATTATTTTGGAAGTCAGACTTTCTTCCTAGGTATTATCATAACACAAATAAATACAAATCACAGACTACAAAACAAATACATATGTTGTAATATAGAAAAAAAATCCACGGTCCCACAACAACTTTTATGTAACAGAGATATCCTTTGGCTACCATGCTTGATAACCTTGCATTTATAATCGGAACGAACAGCTTCCATTATAAAATTCTGCTTTCTCTTGTTTATAATTTTGGCAATCTTTGACCTCCTGGACTGCTATTCATATGTCAAACATGCAAACTTCATTTGTTTTGAAAATTCAAGCAAATGGTTCAACTATTTTAAGAAATATATCTAATAGAGTGGTTTTTTTCAAAGTTGGAAACACTGACCTTTTACTTCAGAGAGCTGCAGTATCCCTCTCCTTGCTACGTTTTGGAAACTGAGACACTGCTTTGTATCAAGGATATATTGTATTACATAATATACAATGCTATTTTCATGAAAACCTGCCTGCATTTGGCCAAGAAATAATTTGGAAAAACCTCAGTTTTTCCTCATTCATAATAGACGCTTATGTCCGTGCATAATACTGTAGCTAGAGTGCACTCCTACCGAAATTCAAGATCTGTACACCTGGAATTATATGCACAATTCAAACAAGATATCATGTTACAAACTGGCAAATTTAAACTCAAGCAAGAACTCGTATTGCTATTCTGAGATTTTCTAAAGCACTTTCTTTCTCCTTGATTTCATCTCATAAGGACAAGCAGTCACTTGGACAAACTGCTTCCACCCAGGACACCTGCCCAGCTATGTAGTGAAGCAAAAACTAAAATTAAAAAATGTGTAAATATAAAATTATAAATTTTCTGAGAAAAGTGTAAGTTTTCTGAGAAAGAAGAAATACCTCGTCTCAGGAATCACTAACAAAATTCATTTAAATACCAACATTTTAAGAGTGTCGGAAGTGTATAAATGAAAACTCAAAATATATTTGCCTGTGTCAAGCAGAAATTGGTACATAGGAGGGGTAAAAGCACATCTCAAATTTTTGCCTGAAGGGTTGAGAGAGATACAATAGACAAGAAATTTTGCTCTCCTAACATTACATATCCTAAAAAAAAAAAAAAAAAATATATATATATATAAACTGTTCTCAGGTAGAGGTGCTGCAGTCTATTTTTCTCATACCTACTAATATCCAATTACGTTTTTAGTTTATGTGCAATATCACTGCTGACTTGCAATAATCTTTTTTTGGGCAGTTCACTTGAAAAGCCAGTACTGCACACAACAGCCAAGACCAACCATATCTGCAGCATCATTTGGTAGACTGAAACTCATATAGTGGGTAAGCCCTAAAAACACTTTTGCAAAAATTAAATTGCACAATGCCATAGGAAGCTTCACTAACGGCTACAGTTTAAAAATTTTTCTTTTCAAAGATTATCTGAACAAATTCCAGTGTACAATGTTACTAGCATATACTGGACCAAAGCTGAATAGCAACAGCCTGCAATGTCACGGGTCAATTTGGTATGTTGGATTGTCTGATAAACTCACAAAACTGGATAATACATAATACACAATACACGATTTCTGCCAGACAACGCTAGGAATAAAGTAGACAATACTTTACACGTTCAGTGCAAGAAAAAATAAGAGGAAGAGAAACATCATTAAGAAGTATCTTAGAAGGTGTAAACTGAAGACCAGGTCTCCATTAATAATTCTCACATAACAATTGTGAGTGAAATGACTAGTTCATATGCAGCTTATAGCCAATACAGCAAAAGGAACCTGTACCATTGAAAGAGAGGTCACAGCAGAAACAAAACTGATGCTAAACCATTTGTGATTACTGCAACAACCTAGCAAAAGCGAAAGCACGCAGGCAAGCGCTTCCCAGGTAAAGCGGAGATGCTGCTGGACAGTCGGCGGGGTTGTGCTGAAGTCAGAAGCAAGCCGTGCAAACCCCCTACCCTCACCCAAAGGCCTCTGGAATCCCAGTGTCTCCTTTTCAAAACGTACTGACGTAGCGCCGCAGTATCACTACGCTTTGGGTCCGGCTATCTGCAAGGTTCAAAGAATGACTCATCATTACAATACAGGCCACTCGCACAAAAATCAAGAGACTTGAATACCAAGTTGCCCTAAGGGGGAAAGAGGAAAGCAGGTAAAGATAAGAAGGGGAAAAAAATATCCCCACGATTTACAATGAAAGATTATTCCAGAAATAATTCTATCCTCATAGGAACAGAGAGCTGGATTTAGTAACCCATAAAGCTCTTAAAATATTCTATATTGAGAGACAAATCGTGTTATTTAATAAATAACAAGCTCTGCAAATGCTGTCTTAAAACTAGGTTTTCTGCCTGGCTGTTAGAATGTGTCATGATTAGAAGGCTCTCACATAAGCTAACGCTCCTGATGACAACATACCTCCTTCCAAGATTCAACTTGCATTTATTTATGGCCAGGTTATCTCTAATCTGGTGCTAACACTATTGTTAAGGTTAAATAACTGCTCTCCTTTCCTCCTCTTATTTTTTTTTTTAAATGTGAAAAAGGCATTTCAAAGAGACTCTCAGTTAGAAAACGGTTTCTGCTCCCATACCACTTACAGATCGTTAGTGTTAGTCTCAGCATTGCAATGATAATCAACTCGGGAATTCTGGCTGGCCCAACTATGGGAAGGACAACCAGGAAGGAAAGTTCTGGGGAAAAGTCTCAGGTCAGATGGAAGGGAAGAAAGAAAAAAGCTTATAAGCCCGGGATAATGGGAGAATAAGGCAGCTGTGCCTCCAGAACTGCAGAAAGCAGGACAGTCAGCGAGTAGAGGCTCATGGTATGATTACACTCATGTCCTGGAAAGTTTTTGTAACCTAAAGCACAAGAGCAATCGCAGAAAAGCAAAAACAGCTGAGACTTTCTTTATAGCATAGGCAGATGGGACATAGACCCTGAGGGAAAGGTAGCATTCAGTTTACTGTGAATTAAGGATAGCATGAGTTTCAGCAAACAGAATCTAGCATGGTATAATGGCTTAGCCCTCAAGGGGGCAGGAAAACCAACCCAAAAACCACAGCTTCCCTTTCAGCTACTGCTAAGGACTTGCCCACAGACAGAAAGACCTGTAGAAGCCTTGCAAAAAGGTGAATCTCAATTCAGAAAAACAGGTTTCCCATGCTGGGATCCTCCACAAGTACTACAGAGTATCCTTGATACCCAAGCTCTACAACCATGCACCATCCTTTGGTTTTATATACACCTTGTATGTTTTTATCTGTGTGTGCGTGCACACATATATTTATACACACACACACACGTACATAAAAATGTTGGAGCCTGTTGTTGTTTCGACCCACCTTGAAGTTTGTCGTCCTTTACCACTTCCCAGAATGGAAAAGGAAAAACAACTCTCGCTATTTTTTCTCTCAAACACTGATTACATACAAATTGTCTGGTGTTGCTTTCCAGTAGCTGAGAATAATCAATCTTAATAACTCATCCTGAGCTTGCAATAGCAAGCGTTGAGGGAGCTGGCCAATGTCATTGCAAGGCCTCTCTCAATTATCTTTAAAAGGTCATGGTGATCAGGAGAGGTTCCAGGGGACTGGAAGAAAGCAAACGCCACTCCTCTCTTCAAGAAAGGCAAGAAGGAGAACTGGGGGAGCTAGAGACCAGATAGCCTCAGCTCAGTCCCAGGGAAAGTAAAGGAGTAACTAATCTGGATACCATTTCCAAACACACAAAGGACAAGAAGATGATTGGGGAGTAGTCAGCGTGGATTTTCCTAACAGCCTTCTACAACAAGAAGACTGGCTCGGTGGGCAAGGGAGAGCAGCAGATGATGTTTATCTTGACTGCAGCAAGGCTTTCGACACAGGCTCCCGTAACAACTCTTTTGACAAACAGATAAAGTACAGACTACATAAGTGGTCAGTGATGTGGGCTGAAAACTGGAGGAGCTGCTGGGCGATCGGCAGCACAAAGTCCAGCTGGAGGTCAGCCACTAGTGGTATACCCCTGGAATTGATACTGGGGCCAGTACTCTTTTAACACCTTTCATTAACGACCTGGCCGCTGAGGTAGAAGGCACCCTCAGCAAGTTCACAGATGATACAAAACCAGGAGCAGTTGATACACCAGATGGGTGTGCTGCCAGGCAGAAGGATCTCAACAGGCTGGAGAAATGGGCAGACGGGAACCTCATGAAACTCAGCAAAGGGAAGTGAGAGTCTTGCCCCAGGAAGAAGTAAGACCACGCACCAGGA